CTCTCTCTCTCTCTCTCTCTCTCTCTCTCTCTCTCTCTCTCTCTCTCTCTCAACCAAAACTCACAAACAGAGACGTAAAAGTGTATGGGCATTATACCCTATCAACACAAAAAGGTTGTTTAACTCTATCCCTATCCGTACGCCGTGGGGTCATTTTGTACCCCCGGGGTTGTATTCTTTACATTTTAGAATTCTTCTAGAGCGAAGATCTCTTTGAAACTTTGAGTATTTCTCACAAAATCATTTTGACAGACTACTATGCAAAGCGTACGGATCGGATTAACGAGTACATTTCCTCTTTGGAAAGTGGTGGCACTGAGTTCCCCACGTCGTATGGATATGATAGTAAATCACGACGTACTTATAGGGTTAAGAGACGATCTCTCTTAATTTAAAGTCCATTTCCCATAGGACCAATCCAAAATGGGTTGAGCGCCTTGGAAACTTCACAGAATAATGACTCAAGTTCAAGAACACCCGATCTGGGATTCGAACCAGGCCATCTGCGGATAAAGGTAAAAGTAAAAGTGCTAAAATTGTAAATATTATGAATTTGAACCATGTTGTGTGCGCGCAGATTCGGCCAATTTTGATGCGCTGATACGACGTATAATTTTTCTTCCGAACTTTGATTTAGTTTTTCTTTTTTTTTAGCTCTGGCTGGGCCTTTGGCTAATGATTCATCACACGACCCGACACAGAATGTTGCATGAAGCAATCCAACCGAACCGTCTTTTGTCGGGCTGAGTCGCGTCTTATTGGCGGACACACCCTAACGGAAGTTTCACTGCTGACAAGGGTAAAAACTAATGTTCCATTTCAACTACTGATTTCCCGAAAGGCGGACGACATAGCCTACAGTTAAATAAGGCTTTAAGGGGTTCTTATGCGATGAAATAGTAGTAAGAGAGGTTGAAGAAGCCAAAAATGCGTACATCTCGAAATCCATAATTTTGACCCAAATCAGAACTTTCAGCGGTAGCCCCACCCCTTCCCCTGAAATGTTTTGGCTCGATTTTTAGACAGCAGTAGTTAATTAATGGCAAGAAAATCCGGACAGACCTACTCTGCAAGTCCTTAACTCACTGAATGCCACTGAAAGTAAACTTTGTAAAGTATGTGACAAAATAAGGCGTTTGGGGGTTCTTTTGGTGTTAAATAGTTGTACCAGAGGTTGAAGAAGACAAAAAAGCGTACATTTCGAAGTCCATAATTTTCATCCAAATCAAAACTTTGAGCTGTAACCCCCCCCACCCCCTTGTTTTTCCTCATAAATGTTTTGTTTTGATTTAAGACAACAGTAGAAATCAATAATGAAGAAGTCCGGGTGGATTCAAGCTGCAAGTCGCATTCACTTGATGCCACTGAATGTTGGCTAAGCTGTGTTTCTAAAATCGAAATCGTTTAAGCAGTCTTGTGTAATCCACGAAACTTCATCGAGCAGTTGTGGCGTCGGTGACCTAGTGGTTAGGCTGCTGGACTCGTAATAGTGAGGTTGTGGGTTCTGGGTTCGAGCCGCGGGTCCGACGTTGTGACCTTGGGAAAGGAACTTTACACGGGTTTTCCTCATTTCACCCAGGTGGGAATGGGTACTCCGCCGTAGACAGCGAAAGATCTTGTCAGTATGTTAGTGTTTTAGCGCCTATAAATGGCTGCTTGCACTTTATGCTTCCCAGGAAGTTGAGGTTGTTTCAGAATGCTCTCAGGTCTGCTGGGGTGATGGTATAGATTGTGAAGCGCATATAGCTTGCTGTTGAGCGGGGATTTGCGCTATACTAATGCTATCTATTATCTATTTTTATAAGACCTGTCACATTTTATTTCCGATCGACCGGATTAACTACACAAGGGAATGACAGAACTATTATATCATTGTCTTATGAAGGGCTGTCAAAACGAGTCACAGTCACATCGGGCACAGATCAAGCATCAACTGAAGACACCGGTGTAGCAGGTTTCAGAGTATCTCATGATAAACACGGAAAAGTTTTAACCTTCAGTAGCTGATTTCTTTCCTTTCTTTTCTTTTTTCCCCCTTGACCAGTGCTTGCCAACCGAGGCGGTATCGCCCACTACTAGTGGTCTATTTGGTAATGTTTTTCGCCCCTTCCTGCCCACCCAGCAGTAATGGGTACCTGACTTCGAGTTGGGGAAGTAAAGGCGGCGTGGAAAGGAACTGCCCCC